GTTCCACTCTGCAGAATTAATCAGTCTTCTTCTACATTCATGTAACTTGTTACTGTAATGTGATATTATGGCACAAAAATACCAAATTAAGTGCTTTGCATTTAAGACCTGATTCTGCTCCCTCCTTACTATCTTCAGTAGTTTTTTTAAACATTCTGAGTCTCACTTTCCTCATCTATCAATATTGCCTAGTTTCCTCAGTTGAAGAATTAAATAGATAATACAAGAATGCTGTAATTAGCCATAATACATTTTATTAGTGTTAGGTGTTAATGTTGCTCAATGTTTTATTTGATTCTCAATTATATTTTTATTTGACCACTTCCCTCCTTACATATCCTACAAAGTATAAGCCCAGTAAGCTTCAAATGAATGCATTAGTGACTGAATACAAGAAGGAATATTTCTGTGAACACTGTGCAATTAGGTATTATGTGAGTTTGCTGTGTGTGTTCACAACAGAGCCTCATTCATTCTCTCAAACATGGAAGAAGTATTTGAGAGCCTGTTATAGCTCAGAAAGAGAACATGAGAGCAGTTTCAACCCTCATGTTTTTAGGGTGAAGTTAGTAGTTTGTATGTGGTTCCTTATAATGAGAAGATTTCATGAAAAGAATAAGATTTTAAGTTTTGTTTCATGAAACATCAGTAATGTATTTTTCCTTTTTTTAAATATCCAAATATATTCATAATTTCATACTCTGAGAGCTATCTCTAAAAGTAAGTGGTTTTCAGTATTGAAGATGTGCAAGAAAAAACATGTGCTTAGATGATATCACAGTTTGCCTTTGAAAGTTCGTGTATAATGACAAGGGGAAATGCCTCTTTGCAAACCATAATATTTTTCTAATGGATTTTTAAGCATTTGATTCTTTCCCATTGTTTGCCAATTTTTAGCACAGTGAGATGGAACCAGAGGTACCAATAACTTTTCCTGTCTTTTCTCCATAATTATCCTATGTTTATCCAGTGGAATCTTCTTCAAGTTGTCTCCTATACCCTTTTTTATTTATTATTTTTTTTAAAGATTTGTTTGTTTATTTTGGAGAGAGAGAGCAGGGGAGGAGCAGAAGGAGAGCAAGAGAGAGTCTCAAGCAGACGCCACACTAAGCACAAAGCCAGATGTGGGGCTCAATCCCAGGACCGTGAGACCATGACCTGAGCCAAAATCAAGAGTTGGAGCCCAACTGACTGAATCACCCAGGCACCCCACCCTTTTTTTCTTTAAACAACTTTTTGAAGGTATAATTTACATGCAGTACAGTTTACATACATACAATAAAATGCACCCATTTAAGCAGTGGGTGAAGACATAGATTATTTCCATAACCCGAAAAAGTTTCCTATGCCCTCTGCTGTCAGTCCCTCCTGGCCCCAATTGCAGGCAACTACAGATCTGCTTGCTATTACTGTGAATTTACTTTGCCTTTTATATACTTTTCATAGTTTTTTTTTTTTTCCACTCAGCACAATGTTTTCAAGATACATCGTGTATCAGTAGTTCTTTTCACTGCCAAGTAGTATTCCACTGTAAAGATATATCACAATTTATTTATCCATTCAGCTATTACTGAACATTTGTCTTGTTTCCAGTTTGGGGCTGTTTTTTTTTTAAGATTTTATTTATTTATTTGACAGAGAGGGAGCACAAGGAGGGGGAGCGGCAGGCAGAGGCAGAGGGAGAAGCAGACTTCGTGCTGAGCAGGGAGCCCAATATGAACTCGATCCCAGAACCCTGGGATCATGACCTGAGTCAAAGGCAGACGCTTAACCGACTGAGCCGCCCAGGCGCCCCTATAGTTTTAATACTTATTATCAAGTAATGTATCCAGTAATTTTGGAACTTTGAATTCTTTTTTCCATTTCCAGTTTTTCAGCTCCCCCTTCATTAATTGATATTATTGGTGGTGGTGTTATTTTATCCTACTGTGTTTGTTTTGATTTGTTTATATTGATGCTGAGTAGTCCTTGTATCTTAGCCCTTTTTCCCAGAATATTCTCCTTCTTCCTAAAATGCATAATTTAGAAATTATTTTAGTAATTATCTTCATATCTAGTAAATACTTCAGGCTCTGTAGGTGGAAAACGTGTGCAGTGTTTCTTTATCTAAAAATACCTTTATTTTACCATCATTCATGAAAGACAGTTTTGCTGGTACACAGTTTTGAAATGTCTTCCAGAATTCTGAAAATATTTCACTGTTGTCTGGCTTCATTCATTGCTTTTGAGGAGGCTGATGTAAATCAAATTTTTATTCCTTTGCAGATGGTCTTTTCACCCTTTTTGCTTTTAGAATCTTCTCATTGTATTTGATGTTCTCTAGTTTTATTACAGTATGTGTCCTAGGATGGATTTCCTATTAGTTGTCCTGCTTGGTATTTATTTCTCTTCCTGTATCTTTGGATTCATTTCTTTCATCAGTTGGGGAGAAAATTTGCAGTTCTTAAATGTACAAATTATTGCTTCTCCTTCCTCTATTTTGTTCTTCTGAAATTCCTATTAGACAAATATTAAGATTTTCTCATTCTATCCTCTGTACTTCTCTTTTCTCTCATGTTTTTTTATCTCAGCTCTCAACATGCATTCTAGGTAATTTACTCAGATTTATAACCCAGTTGACATATACACACTCTTCAGGTACATGTAACTGTTTGTTTACACCTATTTAATAACTTCTTTATTTCAATAAATGTAGTGTTTCCTTTTTGAAAGTCTGTTTCATTCTTCAAATCTGCCAGGTCATGTTGTACAGCTTTTTGTTTTGTATTTATATCTTTGTGATTTTACCTTTTTAAAATAGTTATTCAGTATTTCATATCTTTTAATTCTAATATGTCAAGTCCTCGGGAGGTCTATTGTTTTGTTTTATTTTTTACTCTTCCCACACGTAGTGATTTGTTTCCTTATACTAGTGGGTTTTTTTAAAGATTTTATTTATTTATTTGAGAGAGAGAGAATGAGAGACAGAGAGCATGAGAGTGAGGAGGGTCAGAGGGAGAAGCAGACTCCCTGCAGGGAGCCCGATGTGGGACTCGATCCCAGGACTCCAGGATCATGACCTGAGCTGAAGGCAGTTGCTTAACCAACTGAGCCACCCAGGCACCCCTGTACTAGAGATTTTTATTCAGGCACATGTTTATTTGATTTTACTCCATGACAACTAATGATAAAATTAAAGGTGATTTCTTTCAGATAAGATTTACCTTTGCCTCTGTTGTGAATCAGGGGGACCCTGTGGACCTGGGAGAATTAATTGGGAAGTCTAGCTTCTAAGCATTATTTAAAGTTCATTGTTTCATGGACATCTAGGTCACTCAGTTGGTTAAGCGTCTGCCTTCGGCTCAGGTCATGATTCCAGGGTCTTGGGATGGAGCCCTGTATCAGGCTCCTTGCTCAGCAGGGCGCCTGTTTCTCCCTCTGCCTACCACTCCGCCTGCTGTGCTCTCTCTCTCTCTCTCTCTCTCTGACAAATAAATAAATAAAATCTTTTTTATTTATTTATTTATTTTATTTTTTTATTTTTTTAAGAGGTTTAGCTAATTTCTTTTTTTTTAAGATTTTATTTATTTATTTTTCAGAGACAGAGAGAGAGAGAGAGAAGCAGAGGAAGAAGCAGGCTCCCAAGGAGCAGGGAGCCCGATGTGGGACTTGATCCCAGGACCCTGGGATCATGACCTGAGCTGAAGGCAGACGCTTAACCATCTGAGCCACCCAGGCGCCCAAATAAAATCTTTTTTTTTTTTTAAGATTTTTTATTTATTTATTTAAGACAGAGAATGAGAGAGAGCACATGAGAGGGTTTAGGATCAGAGGGAGAAGCAGACTCCCTGCCAAGCAGGGAGCCCGATGCAGGACTCGATCCAGGGACTCCAGGATCATGACCTGAGCTGAAGGCAGTCACTTAACCAACTGAGCCACCCAGGCGCCCTAAAATCTTTTTTAAAACAAAGTTCATTGCTTCAGATTTAGCATTCTTTTGTTCATCATTTGTCATCTGTTCTTTCCTAACATGCACTTTACTGTACACCCTCATCTTTAAAATAGTTTTGTTCTGGGGCACCTGGGTGGCTCAGTCATTAAGCATCTGCCTTCGGCTCAGGTCATGATCTCAGGGTCCTGGGATCGAGCCCTGCATCGGGCTCCCTGCTCAGCAGGAAGCCTGCTTCTCCCTCTCCCACTCCCCTGCTTGTGCTCCCTCTCTTGTTGTGTCTCTCTCTGTCAAATAAATAAATAAAATCTTTAAAAAATAAAATAAAATAGTTTTGTTCCTCACAGTCTATTTGGCGGTGTTATTTACTGCCTGATTTTTTTTAGGCTTCAGTAAATATTTTCTGAGAATGTGTCATTTCATAATAAATAAGACTTGATTTACCTGAATTATGAAGTGAGAGGATTGGAAATTCAATCATAAATAGGTTTTTATAAGTACTACCCTTTGAACTTAAAAGTTTGGGGGAATCCCATCATGTCACTGGATATCCATCATGTCTGTGTTGCTGCCAGCAGGGATGCTGGTTTTTTATCCTGTGGGATATGCATGTCTATAAATATGTACCTTCTCAGAGAAAGCCCCTTATTGTTGTTCTTATCATAGTGTTACACTGAAGCTTTTCTCAGTATTGAGCATCCATACGAAATAGAAATGTTTCCTGTTATAACAGACAGGATAAAAATGGGGAGAGAGGATAATCTCTTTTTGGGCAGTGGTAATATATTTTATTTGAAAGGATGATCTTCTTTGTGTGCTTTCAAACCACATTTGGCTTAGGGTTTAGTTCTATGCCAAAAGAGAATTCTGTTTCCTTCTGTATTTTGTGGATAGTGATCCAAACACCTGTAAGTACAAATCTAAAGTGCATATTTGAATTCAACTTCCTTTACCTTGATTTACCCATTCAGGAAGATGATTACAATGGATTTCTAACAAAGGAGAAGGAAATCCTGACCTCTGTAGTGAATCAAAAACTGTCTCCTAAAAAAATGTGAATACTTTTTTGTAGAGTCTGCCTTCTCGTGCAAGATGCCTATGGGATGTTCAGTGAAGTGCACTCTGAGGGCACCATCTTGAAGGACCAGCAGTTGGAAGGAAAGTCCTGCAGCCTGATGGGAATGAAGGTTCTACAGAAGGCTACCAGAGGAAGGTGAGGACACTCTGTAATAGCATCTAGTTTGCTACAATGGCTGGTTCTTTTATTAGTGTTTTATCTTTTTTTTTTTTAAGATTTACTTATTTATTTGAGAGAAAGAGAGCACAAGCGGGGGGCCGGGCAAAGAGAGAGAGAGAGAGACTCTCCAGCAGATTCCCTGCTGAGCATGGAGCCAGAACTGGGGCTTGATCTCACAACCCTGAGATCATGACCTGAGATCATGACCTGAGCCAAAATCAAGAGTCAGATGCTTAACCAACTGAGCCACCCAAGCGCCCCTTATCTCTTATTTTTAAAGACGATAAACTAGGATCCTAGAGTTTGCCTGTAAAACTAGGCCAGAGCTGAGTCAAGCCCATAAAGTACTTATAGGGGAAAAATTATAATTGGCAACAAAAACAATAATGCAGGTTTAGTGATTCTTAATTTTATTAAAAATTAAGAAGATAAAAAATGTTCTGTATGTGTGTTTTAATTCTAAGATTTTTTTCTACATGTTTTCCTAGTTAAAAAATAAGATAGCTTTGCATGAGTCAATTTATGTAAATGAAAATATAACTTACTGTAAAGGCATTTTATAAGCTTTAAACAAAATTCCTAAGTTGTCACATCTTTTTGCTTTCCATAGTAAGAAAGTTTTGTTCTCTATCAAGTTTCAAGGTACCCTACCTTAAAATGTGGTTTTGGATAGGCAAGGTAGAATGGTATGTAGATCTGGTCCAAACTATGGCTATTACATCTCCAATAATCATCCTAAATCTATAAATTAGGGAAAAGAAGAAACATTTTTAATCAAATTATTCAGTCATATAGAGAATTAGTGTAAACAGTGTATTTGCAATTTTCCCTATCTTACTGTAATCTCTCTTTACTTGAATACTGTATTATTTTAACTCTCTTGATGTTAATTTTTTACCTAATTATAGTAACATCTGAGCTTATACCAGTATCTGAGAGAGAAAAAAACCCATTATGAATATATGATGTTCTGATTTTGAAGCAGTTATTGATAGCATCTTCCAGTGCATAATGAACATTCTAGCCATGGTCATTCTAAATTGTGAGCATTTATTGAGTGTTGTCCTGACTGACCTATGTAGGCAGTCAGCATTCCCAGAGACCATAACTCCATGTCTCATCTGGCTTTCATATGGTACTGTGCAGGTGAGTGATGGCTCTGCCCAAGAGCTTGTTTTCCTGAAAAACATGTATTTCATGGAAAGAGTCCCTATAAACCCTGGGTAGATAGACACAAGAACATTGATCCGTGCAGATTTGTCTTATAACAAATGCTTCCTTTTGTTTATAAAAAGGTGGCTGTATTATAATGCAATTGCCTTATAGATTGGGGGTAGGGGGAAGTTTACCCAGATATTTAGAAAGCGTATCTAAATGTATGAAAAGCTTAAGTTTCACATGAAACTTATCTTTATTAAGGCTGAACCTCATTTTAGTCCTAAGTTTTAGAATAACAAGCATCTGGGGGCACCTGAGTGGCTAAGTGGGTTAAGCATCTGCCTTCAGCTCAGGTCATGATCCCTGGGGTCCTGGGATCAAGGCCCGCATCGGGCTCCCTGCTCAGCGGGGAGCCTGCTTCTCCCTCTCCCTCTGCCACTCCCCCTGCTTGTGATCTCTCTCCCCCTCTCTCTCTGTCAAATAAATAAATAAAATCTTTAAAAAATAATAAAAAATAAAAATAAATTAAAAAAAAAGAATTACAAGAATCTGAAAAGACTATAGTACAGTTTTAAATGGTATTGCTGCCCCAGCATATTGACCTGACAGCATTAACTCTATCAGGGCCATGTGGGAGGTAATCTTCCTCAACATGAACTCTACACATAAGCCTCCCACCTGAGCACACCAGGATACAAGTGAGCTCCCCATCATGGGAAATCCTCCCTATGGGGCAGCAGAGTTGCTCCAGCTGCCAGCTTCCCTGGTGTAGGCCAGACAGAGGCTGCTCTGGGAGGCTTACTTCTTGCTGGAGACTGTAGCACGTAACTTCTTGTGGCAGTTCTACTGGTAAATGACAAAGCCACTGCAGTCCCGAGTCTTTGGCTCTGTAAAGTTCATGTTCTTTTACCACTATGCTTTACGGTCATATGTGTTCCTAAGACTTAATCTACTTTTTTGTGGGTTACAAGGGGAGCCCTACTACTATCTACAACATTCCCATAGGAAATGTTTTTTCCACAGGAGATGCACTGAGTATTGCAAATAATTCATTTACAGACTTTTTGGAACCCGTAGCATTTTTAGGTTTGTGACTAAATATTTTTTTTTTTTTTTAGGTTGGGATTAATTTCTTTACTTATATATTTTATTTTATTTTATTTTATTTTGGCACACAGCTGTCCAAATAAATGTTTAGATTGTCTTTTTGTTCTTTTGGAAACTATATTTCTTCAAAACAAATTATTAAATCATTTAGGAATGCTGGATGTTATAATTGCCTATTAGTGATATCATCCATTGTCAGTCATCCATCCATGGCCCAGTAAACACAAATTGTCTTTTATTTTCCCCCAAATTATTGTGTTTCATGGCAACTCCCATAAACTCTAACAAAATATACTTCTCATAACCTTAACAAAATACATTTATTTCCCAAAATTCAAGCTAAAATGATTAATTATAATTGTATACTTCCAATATCTAATACAGAAAATAACTTTTTTGCCAGTTGGAAAATAGTTGTGTGTTTAGGCTAAGTCATGAAGTCTTTTAGATCTTGGCTACCAGATTTCATCTGATCCATGCTTCTAGTGATGGAAAATCACTACTCCCCACAAGGGCTATGAAGTGGACCGATGACCTCAAAGCTGTCAAGTCAGACAGACGTGCTGTTGGACCAGTGTGTGGGGATTGCTGCTCTGTCCACCTGCCTCATTTGGGAAGGCTTGCATAAAAACAACAATCCTATCTTTTGTATTTCTCTGATATATTTTTGGAGCTGCATGTCCATACTGACTGCTTAAAGCAAAAAGACTCAGAAAAATAGCCTAGATTTAAAGGAAAAAAACTACAATTTTCAGAAAAACACTGCTGACACATGCTCATTAAACAGAATGTGGAGCTCTGTCTGTGCTTTCTTCCTCTCTAGAGCACTCCCTGCTATTTGTCCAGTGACTCTCCTTCTAAGGCACATCCCCTGACCTTTGTCTTCCCACGTGGCCTGTGCAGCAGTTTAGCAGGTCAAATGAGCGGAAAAGTCACATGACCTTGATCTCATAATTCTGTGTATGAACTTTATCTTTTTATTGTTGATTATTATACATTTTTATTTTTATATGATAGGGCTATACTGAGGGGGAAAAGAATTCCAAAAATATGTGTTAACCCTATAAAAATGGAAAATATAGCTACCCAAATTTTTTGTGGGGGAGGGGAAATTCTTTCAGTTCAAAATCCTACTCGTATTTATATCCCAACTTGTTAAAACCCACTGATCTCTGTCTAAAATCACTAATTTGTAAATGCTATTTGATTTAGATCTGTTGACTGGCCCTTTAAGAGAAGATTTATTGAAGAGTATTTAGTCAGTACTCACCATGTACAGAAAGCTCTACCTGAGTACCCAGAATGACAAGGAAGCATTTGACATGTTCTTTGACCTTGAATTGCAACCCTTTGAACAGAAAACTAGACAGGCACAAATATTGGAGCAGTTAATGTTTTAAGTGACTAGATCCTAACTGGCTATAATCTCAGATTTCATAAAAGAAGTTAGTGAGAACAAATGCTTTAAACATCCTGACCTGTCAGAAAGAAAAGTTCTCTTCAGATTGGTAAGATGTTATCTGTGAAAACATACACGTAGGATCAGGAGAGATGTATGCAAAAGAGGAAATGAAAAGATAATTCACTCATTTATTCTATAAGGATTTAGTGCCTCTTTGTGCTATGCCCCTGGCTAATGGCTGTGGCACTGAGCTGTGTACTAGATTTTTGGGATTTATCCTAAACCAGAATATACTGGGGTATAAAGTCAACTAGATAAAGCCTTAGGTCCTTTTTTTAGGGATTCCGCATCAATCCAAGAGAAAATTAGGGCCTCTGTGAGATCTTGAGAGAAGAAAAGAAGACGTAATAAAAATAAAAATGGAGTTAAGATTATCCTGATGTTGTACCTATAATGGATTTAAGATACAGGGAGAGATTGGGGCAGGGCTACAGATTTGGAAACTTCTGTAGCAATTGAGAGAAGGAGAACAAAGAACCAGTTAGAAACTAATCTTAATTTCTGATACCTGCAGGCAGCTCCACCAGGAGTGTAAAAATAGACCTTTCCCTCCAAGAGCTCATGGACCAGCAGGAGAGCCAGGGGTAACCCAAGCAGACACTGACTGGCAAGTGCCTAATACAGAGAGCTGTGGGCTGATAGTAGCCACCTTTGAGGGGGGTTCGGAGGGCAGGTCAAGATTTAGGAACCCTGAAGAGAACAGGTAAGGCCTGGGGCTAAGGACTAGAATGAGAAAGGGAAGGAAGACTGTCTCCATTATCTCCTTTGGGAGCCAGACTGAAGATAAGGAGAGCACTGCTGTCTGGTCAGCTTTCATGATAGAGTGAGGGGTGGGCACTTTGTGTGTGGGGTGGTGCATTTCAGAGAGTGATCCAATTAATAGTTAGTTTAAATGTCAACTTTTGTTTTCAAGGTAACAGATTAAGTACTGATAATTTTTATACTAGAAGCCAAGTTTAGTCAATATGCTCAAATACTAACCCCATAGGCAGGATTCAAAAGTCCTTTACAAGCCCCCATGCTAGTCCCCAGCCTGCTGCACTTGTGACCTTTAGTCCCACCACTCAGGCATGTGCCATGCCCTAGACCTAGAACACTTTGCTTTTCTCCTGGGCCTTATTTAAGTCCCACCTTTCCCTCATAGGCCAGTCTTAAGATGCTCCTTCATTAAGACTCCTGGCACCTGTACTCAGCACTTCTTTATCTGTACCCAGCACTTCCTTTATCTCCTACAGCAGTTACTGCTGGG